TAGGTGTTATTCCAGGGATTTCCGTTTCATTGTTTATTATTTCGGAAACATCGGGAGGTCCTACAATAAACTAATGAATTAGTAATCTCTACAAAACAAAAGGATGTTTGTCAGTGAAGACAAATCAATTAACTGGTATCAAAGGTAAAGTAAAGGAGTAAACATATAAATGAACACGCTCAAAGGTCAAGATGACACTTAATTTCATGAAAAAGGAATGCAACTATTGTGAAAAGAATAGAGGAACTTTTAGGGAGGAATGACTTCGCATAAATAAATCTAAATGGGAGCTGTTAAAGTAGTTATAATCATTTGATTAAGTACCACAAACTTTCTATATGTAATGCAAGTGTAATACAAGTGTTAAGATGAAAGACTTACCAATCGAATCCATTTTTTTTGAAGTGTGTGCCCATTGGCCCAGGCCTTTCTTATTAAAAGCTCGGACTCGAATTTGATACTCTGTCTCACTCCGCAGGTCTGTGAACAAACAGCTGTGATTTGAAAACAAGGCCGTGCAGTGGCGCAAGCCACTATTTCCCCCTCCTGACGTATGTAACTGGACCTGATAGCCAGTGAGAGGACCGCCACCAGAGTCAATGGATGGTGGATTCCAAGTGACTTCCAATACTCCACACGGTCTCTTTTTGACGCCAGGAGTTTCCGGCTTGAATGGAACGCCTATAACAAAAAAGATAGTATGTTTTATATCGAAAAATCAATGACACGTGCCATTGGTGTGAGATAAGCTTACAGACACATTCTCCGTCTTTTTGCGTTCGAGGTACGAGAACGCAACCCCTAATTTCTGTTGGGTGTTGTTGTGCATTATTGGGTGTCCTGTGCAATTAATAACGGGGGTTTTTTTGAGATTGCATTCGTGTCGACACACATTTGTCTCGCTTTGAGGCGCTTGCTTACTTTTTGCCTCACTTTGACGCGCTAACCCACGTGCTTATTCGTGTGTCCTCGGCGTTCATCTTTCAAACGTTTGCTGAGGTCTGCTATTCTGTCTTCGTGAAGCGTTCATCTTTTAAAAGTGTGCTGAATCTTCTAAAGCGTACATATTTAAGAGTTTGCTGAAGGTCTACTATCGATCTGTGTTTAATGAATCTTCCAAAGCGTTCATCTTTCAAAAGTTTGCTGAAAGTTTAAACCCTGAGTAAAATTTTACTTTGGATTAAGCCTTCATATTTTACTTTGGAAAAAGCGTGCGACTCCTGCTGCATGCATCAAACCGGGTTGTTTAGCTCGGCGTCCGTTGTAAATTTACTGGGGAGTTGTGAAGCTCGGTGTCTGTCGTGCCACAAAGTTAATCTACTGACTTGTGTAGCTAGGCGGCCATAGTGCCACAAAGTAAATCTACCGAGATGTGAAGCTCTGCGGCGCCATTTCATCATGACTCGTGATATTTTCGGCACTGGACAAACGACAAACCCTATGTTATTTATCCGGAAAAAGCGTGACCAGCCCACAGTAGCGCCACTCAAACCACTGAAATCAGGCACTCGACCAAATTACTGGAAAAGTTACTGCGGTGAGCTTTGTGGCGTTGGGTCGATCTTTAATATCATCACAAGTTAAGACGACTTGCCAGTAACGGTTTAATTCTATAGTAAATTTCAGTAATTGTCTACAAGTGGAATGCCCAAGAAACAAAAACTTTGTCAACTGTTTGCTTTTATAACAGTACCTGGGCCGGGTTGTCCAAAGCTGGGTTAAGATAACCCAGGCGAGGAGGGTTAGTGCGAAATTTGAATTCAGATGTGAAAGCTTCATTTTTGATGATTGGATGCTCTTAAAAATAACGGAGAAAAATATCCAAAGAAATGTTTTTGAACAAAAGAAAAAGCACCGGTAAAACAAAAAGTCCTTTTTACACGCCCGACGCACTCTGGCCACTGTCTCCCCAAATAACAAGCACTTGAGACTAACCATATGATATCACGCTGATCACTAGCCTTCAAAACTTTTCCATAATGATACACAGTTTAAACAGAGGTTTCGCTGTAGGCAACCCTTACGTTCAAAATATGCCATAATCATAGTTATCTATCGCAAGAACCATCCACCCTTCCCCCTCAACTGCTACCTTTACGCCTAGCAAACATATCGAACGCACTCTCCTAAGCTCCGATTACTCCGAGCCGTTTATTAAATAAACGTCAGGCTTCAAAGAATATGATTGGTTCTTAGCGAAGTCCTGATTTTCTTTTCCCATCCTACGGCCGCTGCAGTAACTGCTTCATTTTATTACAAGTTTTTTGTTGTTGTTTTTGAATGAGAAAAAGATGCGACTGTGAACATGTCACAGGCTGTATGTTAATTAGGTGCTCTATATTGTAACTTTGCGGGGTTAGCCGGTTTCGCCAAACCAGCAGTCCCAACATAACTTAAAACCGGCACAGGCTAATAGCCAGTTAGGTTACGGAAAAAAGCCAGGGCATAACATTTCAATTGCAAAAGCTTTACTTAAAACCCCACCAGGAAGTTTACATTATTAACATTCCAAGCCAATCTTGACTTGTATATGTCGTCAACCTAGCAAAAACCGACCTCAGTGAACATTGAAGCTAAATAGCCCAGCCCGGGTGATGATCCTGTGAAGCCCTAGTAAATTAAGAAACAGGAACTAAACTTTAACAGCCGTACATAAACAGTATAAAAAGAGTGGTCTGTAGTGTTCAAAATCTTTTTAAGCAACCGGGTTTCATAAACACTTAATTCTAATACCTTCTTCTGTTGTCACAGCTAGCAGTTTGGTATCTTTTATGCTGCTTCCACGTTCATTCCATGCCAAGACCATAATTTCGTACGTGCTGCTGCAGTTTAGCTTAAGACGATATTTGGTCTTGTTTGGCGCTATGAGATTTGTTGTTTGCCACTTTATCAGCTGGTTAGATGTCCTGTAGTGAACGCTGTATCGAGTAATCGGGCAATTGTTGTATGGCGGGGTCTTCCAAGAAAGAGCTGCATAACAACCCTCAGGCTTAGCTGATACTTCGAATGATGTAGGCACACCTTAAAAGAAAATTTCTAAGACAGTGATTCATCTCCCGGGGAGTAACTGCTCACAAATTAGTTATGCGGACAGATAAGAGATAATTATAACATAATTATAAGCAGTAAAAGCAACATCACTGATATGGCTTGCAGGTGTATAAAAACAATTCCCATGAAACCATCATCACCGACTAGTGATGAACGAAAATTCAGTAAAGAAATTCCTAATATCAGCAGCCACATAGGGATATCCCAACACAACCGACAGTTTAGTTTGGTACGTGCAATCTATGGAGGTGTACTATAAATCACTTGGTGCATGGAAGGAACGTCCAGCACAGTTACAACTCAAAGAAATCTAGACAATCCAAGAAATTATTGTTAAATACTATGTTCACTTAAGAGTTCCCCGATCGTTCAGCGTTTTTGGCGTCCAATGACATCTTGGCAAGTCACTTTAGTGGGCATTGTTCCCTGTTTTCATGTTTGTATATCTTTGAATGTAACCGTTATTGCTGTCATTTGCCTGACCAGATACTCGAACCATAAGTCTTCTTTCAGGGACCCAAACAAGAGACTCAGTGCAGAACTCAGTAAGCACATCTGGGACTTGAAAGACGCTAAGATTGGATTTACCTTAACTTGGAAGATCTTAAAGCAAGCCGCGCAGTTTAACCCCGCTTCAAATCGCTGTTATTTGTGCCCGTGGGAAAAATATTTCATTGTTTGCAGAGCCGATCTGGCGAGCTTGAACAAGCAAAATGAACTTGTAACTTCTTGCAGGCAAGCGCGTAAATTCCTTCTTAGCAGCTTTACATCTTCCGTTGGCACGCAATAGGTTTTTAATTCAAATTCTGCGCGCGCGTTTGTAGTCTTAGCGTATGTTATAACGTACTTTTTGTTGGCAATTTATCTGAGGAGTGCCGTACATGCCTTGCGGTACGAAACTAAGTAGTAATAAAAATGCCAAGTCAAATCTCACGTTGACACCGGACATCCTTGATTACACTTACTCTACGCTATAGTCCTTCTATTGAGCACTCTGCCGATAGGCGTGCATATGCATTGTTACGGGGGTAATCTTTTAGAGGACGGGTAGCTTGCAAACCAAACTGAACGCAGGGTTGTCGGAACAGTAACAAGAAGGTTTATTCCAAGAATGAACGTAGTTTCCACTGAGTAAAACTCCACGACAGCACGTAACTCGTTAAACTTACACGGCTTCCGCCAACTACACGTAACTTGATAAACTTACACGGCCTCCGCCAACTTGAATAAACACTGCTTTCGTCACACTTGACTAAACACGACCAACGTCAAACTTTCTTCGCTTGTGAAAGTAGTTAAAACTTAACTCGGACTCGCCTACATATATAGTTTCACAATAACATTCTAGAACTTTCCAAATAGTCTAATTATAGAAAGATTACGAAATATACCGCTTTTAGAAACGCCTACACAAGATCCTAAAATAAACAAACTATGAACTCTCGCGAAGCTTCTAGAAAGTCACGCTAGTCACCAAATACAATTTTTCGTAACATGCATCAACTGGTATTTTTAACAATTATTCCTCGAGCGCGAATGGGCTCTGAGTCAATAGCCCATGAGGCCGAAGGTCGAATGGGTTATTGACTCAGAGGCCATGAGGGCGAGAGGAATAATTGTTTTAGTAAAATCCAAATAGTTGGTCAAAAAAATCGGGAATAAAAAAATTTTAGCTGTTTAAGGCTAGACTTTTTGCCTCCAAAAAGCCAGCGCTTTTCGCTACTAGTGGGCTATAACATATAGCCTAGTAGTAGCTCAACCAATCAGAACGCAGCATTGATAATAGACCACTAGTTGGATTTTACTAAATATATATATATATATATATGTAGTGCGATTACGCTGTAATTATAACATGAAATCGTTCTTAGCACAGACACGATAAGTTTAAAAAACTGCGACTAAGACAGACACATTACAAGACCAGGTAAGACTTTTTTACAGTCTCATTATCTAGTACCTGAAGTCGTTTCCAGTTGACGATTTGTCCAAAAACTATGGCCTAACGCGTTTTTTGCCCTGATTTGTATTTCGTAAAGACTGTTACTTTGGACATCAAGTATCTTGGAATGATTTTTCTGTGGCAGGTCGAATCTTTGTTCGGAATCATCTGCTAGTGATAATATGACGAGTTCATATCCGGTTACTTCACTTCCTTTCATCTCTTTCCACTCCACTCTTATCGTACGACCGCAGTCAAAGGTGTCATTTTTTACAATTTCAGGGCGTGGTGGAATGTTAGAGCTTTCTGAAAATAAAGCATTTTAAAGGAGCTCAATATTAGACTTCAAACAATTTTAATAAAACGACCCCATTAACATCAGCAAACAGGTAGGAATGAATGGGGTATCTGTAGTTTTGCATTGCGTGCCAAGTCTCGACCTCTTCTTTCCATGTCCAGAGTCAATTCAATTAACTCTCAGCAGCGTATAGCAGTTTACCAGTGCAGCTTTCGCTCTTAGATTCCAAAACAACAGCTACACTTTGTAACATTTTTTTCTGGACTGAACCCGAGCCGGGCCTTTTTGGGCTTCCTCCAAGGAGGGAGGAGGCAAGATCGGAAGCAAGCAGCGTGAAACTATAACACTGCTTATCATTCATTGACCACCAAATTTGCACAGCAATAAAAATTCATAAATGTAAACAATTATTATAAAATAATGTCGCAATGGTGCATTTAAGGTCACAATGACGCCATTTATATTACTGCCAAATGAACAGTCACAGGATGATTTAAGAATTAATCCTAAAAAGAAGGTATAATCGGATTATCGTAATTTAGTCATCTTTAACAATTTATTGGTTAAAAATCGAAATCATCAAAATCTCTATAAAGTGTAAAACCAACGCCGACACAACTTCCACCGAAATGTGTTTGTGTTCTATCAACAAGCCAACACGCTCTTTTAAGAGTGTGTTGGCTTGTTTTGTTGTATTAAAATACAACAAAACTAAATGACAAACAAAGGTGTTGGCCACCACTTCACCAACACTCACAAACATACAAAAAATGTAGTCACCTCCTCGATGGTCATGCCCTGAAAGCTGATGGCATCAAACTCTGTTTTTGGCCTGATTGGATAATCAAGTCGCGGTTTTGTTGTTGATCTTCTGTCATTTTAGCCCAAAATAATTTTCATAAAGACTCGTAATTTTATTAGTGCTTTTCGATTTGTCTTTTGTCAGAGTTATGACGGTCCTTTTTATTCATAGTCGATATAGTCGGCTGTCCAGTCAGAATTCCAGTCGATTCGATGGTTTGTCTGGAATGTGAGTTTTTCAATTAACATTTCTTGCCGCTCGTTTGTGTTCAGTCAGTCATGCGCTAAGGTTTCTGTGAGTACAACCAATGTAAGTGGCCTGGGGTGTCTGGCGGTGGTAGTGGTATAGTAATACCTGATGGGATGTCCGTCTCGGAGGTATTGTAACTCTAATTATCAGGAAATTGTAATTTTCATCAAACCTTACAAGGTAGATACAGTTCAGAACACGCAACTTACTATATTCATAGAATGGGACGTCCGCTACAGCAGTTTTCGTGCCTGACTCAAGAAGTGCACACATGTATGTTCCAAGATCTTCCCTGGTTAAATTTTCAACTTGAAGATAAACGGCACCTTTCGTTTGTTGACAAGAATTGGGCTGTGAAAACGTGCTGAGTATTTTATACTTCCCATATACATTTGTTATTTCTCGCCCGTTTTTAAACATCCATTTCCACTTGTATGAAGCCATTTGTCGAGCGTTTAGCTGGTTGGCCTCGCAACTCAAATTTGCATTGCCGTTTTGTGCCACATCTAGGGGAAGGGCATTTAGCTGAGGTACTGTTGGTGGACCTGTTGTGAAAATTGGATAAACTGGTTTAATTCTAGAAAAAAAACAACTGCGGTTCTGCCAAAACGCAACAATAAATGGTTGAAAAGAAGATTGGTCAGCTCGAAATAAGATATATACCAAAGATGAGGTCTCAAACGCTAGCCCTTTATGAAAAGGGAATCGATCCTAACTTAAGCCGTCCAGAAAAATTCGGACATGACCTAATTAACACCTGAATCACTATCTTAAATAAATTACTAACAATCTTTTGCTAAATCTCCAGATAGCGGAATATGTTACATGTAAGAGAGCCCCCCAATTTTGGATTTGTCGTTTGTCGTTTTCAATAGAAGTGATTAATATAATTATATTCATCCAGAGGCTCATCAGACCTTCATTTTTTAAATATTGTTATAATAGAGTTCAGATATAACACGCACTCTGATTGGTTGAAAAAGCGTGCTTAATGAGAGAATAAAACACGGAGCTATATGACATATGCCGGTAGTTTGTTTTGAAAAGTAGAGAGAAATACATGGGGAAATTTAACGGATTCATTATCATAAAACAATGTTCAAATAAAGCAGTTGTCTTGACTGTGCTATCTTCTGTTGTAAAGTACTCAAGAAGTAGGGAGAAACACTTGACTATATCACGTGTTTCCCGATACACATCGTTTGTGCTCTAGCCGCTTCCTGTGTGCTTTACATCTACAACAGAACAGAGCACAGTCAAGGCTTCTTTATTTGTTAAATTGAACGCTGTCTCAATGATGACTGGATTTATGCACAGAGTATCGAAATTCCGAATCTCGTAACTTTTCTGATCAACATTACAGAAAATACTTCATAAAAATCATCTTGATTTTAAAATGGTCACTTGCTGCCATAAGACTTCCATATAGCCCCACACATTTATCATGCATATGTTTTGACTCTGTTCATATCAACCATTCGTTTGAAATAGTATGAAATTACTGTGTAATGGCGACGTTATCTTTAATTACACTCTTGAAATTAGGCTTCACAAATGACTTAAATCAGATGGCTTACCACAGGTCACCCAAGCGTAATATGACAGTTTGTATGGGAAATAAAGAATTTGTATTGGATATGAAACTCAGATAAAATAAATCAACTAAAAGCGATAAAAGTTATCAGCAAAGTGTTCATATTGTTACCTGTTGTCGTTGTATTTGTTTTTACTAAGTTTCAACGCGATTTGAGTGAATTGGATATATGTTGTATCTACTTAGAAGAGTATCACGAACCAGTTTTTTGCATTTTCAACAGGTTAATTCGGTATACTGTAAACTTCTCTGATCACACTTTAAACACTGAAGACTCCGAGGGAGAGAGTCCAAAAAACCTGGTTAGATTTTCTTCCTCGTGGGAGTTAATTAACACTATGCAATATCCGCTATTCTTACATGTCCACTTAGTAACGCTCTAGCTTTGGACGGAATGCAAAACGTTGAGTACTTTCACATCATCTTGACCTGGGCGCTAGGGTCAAATAATAACTCACTGGTAGACGGTTACATTTCTTTGTTAAGACAAATCTCTACGCACCCACCTCCCAGTTTGAAAACTCCAGCGTTTCGTTTACTGGACGTTTATTGGCCGTTTATCGGTCATTGTTAATCTTTTAAAAAGGTAAAAACAGAAACAGGACGGGGAAAACTGGTGCTAGGTACAACCACTTTGTCGCTTCAGCGATATGTTCGCTTCAGCTCACAGCTGTGACGTCACATAGCCTGTAGCATTTTCTCAAGTCAATCGCGCGGTCACTTCGGAAATGCTCGGATTTTGATCTTTTATCTTTTTATGAAGGCTTCAGAAGAAAAAAACTTTGCTCAAATCTCACTTAGGATGGTTCCTTGTAGTGTTTGGTAAAGATATAACAATAATAGAAAAATGTTATCTTTTTTGTTAAGTTGACGTTGCAATAAAATGCATTGCAAATCTTCTCCCTTTGATGAAATACAATTTAACTACACTTAAGATCAGTTCTGTTTCAAACAGGGGCGATAATTTAAACTTGTTTTCTAGAATTAAATACAGGAAGATGACTTAAAAATAGTGTTCAAATAGTCAAACTTTAAATACTTTAAAATCATTTTAAAATATAATTGGTTTGGCATCCAGGCTGCAATGGTCATTTTAATTTATGACTCTATCACTTTGCAAATTAAAGACACGCAGGGGTGTCAAGGACTGATACGGATGGGGAAACAACCTTGTTTTATTAACAAATAAATAAATGCTTACATGAAACAGTGACGAGGATAGTGCTTTTGTTAGTTACTGTGTTATTGTTGCTTGCTTCACAAGTGTAATTCCCGGCGTGATGTAAATCTACCTCAGGAAAATTAAGAGCGAGGTCTACTAGGTATTTGCCTTGTTGACTTTTTCTCTCCTTGAGAATCTTGTTGTTCTTAAGCCACCTGACTGTTGGTGGGGGCAGTTCTTCAACGAAGCAGTAAACACTTCTCTTTTCACCAGCAAAAAGAGAAAGAATACCCTCGGGCACTTTAATTTCCAGTAGGTTATCTAGAATAAAATACATTAATTGCAATGTCAACTATTCCGGTCTCAGACGAGTTTTAACGCAAATAATTTTAAAAATACTTATTATTATTTAAATGTATCTTTATCTTCCATTTTACTCAAAGATGGTGAGGCGGAGGGTGGGGTTGCTACTTCTTATCCATGCTCGTGGCCTTATTCAGACCTTCAGACTGGGGAGCTGGGGCCTTTGAGGTCCCTCTCGCTTCTCACTAAAAGTTGACGTGTATGTCAACATTACTGACATTTCCATGGTAACTTAGTTTTGACAACTATTCTCCTTAAATCATTTAAAGAATATTCACTACGTCTATTTTCAAGTGAATTCATATCTATATGAGATCTTAAGAAGTGACTCAATCAGAACTTTTCCCATGTTCATTATCGTTAGTAATCCGAAATGATAGATAAACAATAACCGTAAATTCAAAATGCATGAACGCAAAGCTCTCTCTATTCCTTTCATTTCAAGAAATGGGATCAAGCTCCTAACAAAGGGATCATTTCAAACTGCTATAACTATTAGAAGCACCATTACATAACATCATCATTTTTACAATAATTGAACTATATCTCGTATGCTGATTGGCTAATTTTTATTATCAATAAGCGAACAGACACACAAAAAAATTAATTTATGCAAGACGCGGTCATTTGCAGAAGGAATGCCCAACTTCTTGGTTTTTGCTTGGTTTAGTTTCGTTGAAGATTCACTTTCTGTCCTCTGAGAAAAATGGCCGGCTAACTCTGATGTCAGACTTGCGTTCTGTTTGGATTCTCTACAAAAAACTTAGGCAGAGGAAACTGAACAAGACACTTGAGAAGAAAATTGAACAGTTTCAAAACAGCCATTTAGTTTTTAATTTTCGCACATATCTTTTAAGTTAAAAACGTAAGAAACCAATTCTGAAAGTCTAGTTTATTAAAAATAAACACATTTATTTTACCGTAGTTTTCTTTTGACAAGTACTGAGTGTTTTTCTCATCCTTTTTTTCGAAAGGAAAACAAACTTTTTGTACAAACGTTGTAAAATTTTGTAAGTACCTGGTAAGTTAAATTGAAAACTTCATGCCTATAAAGCCCACCTTTCAGTTTGATTGTACACAGCTCACTCACCTGAATAGCGTTTAGGACGACAAAAAAGATAATAACTGAAGTAAACAACCAGCCGTACACGATTTCTGTTCGTACTGATCGGTTAGCAACTCTTCAAAAGTGCCAGGCTAGTTTCATCTACAGACAGCTCAACTGGACACTGCTTAGACTTTTTCAGTTACTTTAACGGCTCGAAAATCTTTCCTTGGAATAATATTAAACCTTGGGCTACTTAACGACTTTCTACAGCCCTAAAATGCCTCCGTTTTTCAAGACGATACACATCGCTGATCTCATTCTTGTTTGAAGTTCGCAAAACAATTGAACAATCCGGAATATCCCTACATTTAAGGACAGTTGTGACGTCATGGGGCTATCGTTATTGAGGAAAATGGCGCACCGATTGCCAAAACGACCAGAGTTCACTGTTTCGAGGCTCTCAGGCAAAATTACGAAGACTTCTAATGAGGCATACACATCGTATTTAAGAGTGCCGTGCATCGGAAGCCATGTTGCAAGTGCCTCGTGAAATACCAGTACATTTTATCGCTTGTTTCTTCTTTTAAACAACGCGATGTAGGTGAGATTTTGGCCTTTTTTCAAGGAAAGTGATCAGTTATCTATTTTGTTTCGTATTCACAGTTCTAAATTGTCATATCGATTAACTTTTATTATGTTGAATGTGGGGATGGTTACACATCCTAGAATTTTTTGGTAGACATTCCTTGAATTCCGAGGTCCAAAACACTTGTTCCACTCCCGAGTTTCACGTAGACATGGCAGAGCCAGTGTTATTATATTTTTTCGCATTAATAAGAGCCTTTGCCTTTTATATTCGCAAGGCACTAGCCTTACGGATATTCAAGTCCAACATCTTGCCTCACTTCGCCAAATTTGCGAGGATACAAGTAAAGATCATATAAGCGCAGGGTAGAAACTAACCACTTTGTTTCTGAAATTCAACAAATCTGGAAAGATTTAATTAATAGGTAGGTAGGTAGGTAGTTTTTTCTCCAGTGTTTTGCACTTCGCTAGGCCTTAATATTACCTCGCTTTTGTGTATACTAAATAACGCATAATGAAGCCACACCAGTGTATTCGTCAATATATGCATAGGTTGTTTAGGTTGTACTCACTTGAACAAATCACCGATGCATCTTCACTGTGAGCGCAGTTTTCTACACCCCATCCCCTGTGCTCACAATCTACAATAGACGTTTCATTTCCCGAGCAGAATACATCATCCAACCAAGTTGGACCACTTCCTAGACCGAAGTGTGCATGCCACGGAGCACTAACAGCGTTTGGATATCCAAGTTCACGGCAAACAACTCTCGCGTCGCTTATATCCCAGTAGTCATCACAAATAGTTCCCCAGACCCCATTGTGCAGAATCTCTACTCTTCCTTCTCCGTTCCAGTTTCCTCCAACTAACCTCAAACCTAAAACGAAACGACAACAGCAGGTGAACTATTGGCCACTGTCAGTTCAAACGTACCCTAAAATTTCCTTAAATTTTAAATAACAGCATATTCATTGCATATAGTTTCCAATGGCCAGTAAAAGAATTATCAATTGTAAGTCAATTTGTCTACGGGTTCGAGTTTTCTATTCGTGAGCGTGAAAAGTCATTAAACTCGTCCCCAGGGTCTTCTTGTTTTCCAATATGGCGAAAAACGAGAAGGCACTGGGGAAGAGGTTGAAAAGTCATTTATTGCTTCAGTGACTAGCTATTCACTTTTGGAAAATGAAAAAGAGTTGTCTAATTGTTTGTACAGGTAATCACATGATTTCGAGTGCAATTTGGAATAAATTGAGACAACTTCAAAGCGATATCGCTCAACATGTTAAAAATGAACGGAGTGAACTCTGAGCGAGTCACTTGTCGATGAAGGAATATTTAATAAAGTTAAGGGCATAAAGATGCAAAACCTTGACTTGAAAAGGAAGATTTTGGAACCGAAAAGTATATACACATCATCCATCATGTTCTTCACGTCACAGGAGTCAAAATTCAAGTGACCTGTATGTGATTACATTTCCAGCAAGAAAACCAGCTCTCAGCTGAAATATGGTGTGTAACAATCAGCTAAATTACAGAATACAGCGGTCCACTTATAACCACATCATCAAATAACAAGAGAATCTATTGTTATTTCATTGTTCAATTGATCTGATTGATACTCCATTTTGTACAATTCGCCGAACTTTAACGATCGAGCAACCAACCTGTTATAGCTAACTGTGATGGCTTCAGTAAGTCCGCTTTTGACCCATTGCGGAGTCACTGACTCTACCCGACTAGTATACATTCCAACTTCATTTCTCGGGGTAGTTATCAAAAAAGGCACATCCATTTCATTTACTTGCAGCTTCTAACCTCGTGAAGAAACTTCTGGACAAAGACCTGCTTTCGCTTTTCATTTCTTGCCTGGTATCGCACATAACTTCATGCAGTATTTAGTCAATCAAAGTAAAAGTACGACGAAAGATGTTTCATTCTTTCAAATAATTGACAATTAAAGAAGACTATTTTTTGCCAAATTTCACTTAGAACATCAAGGTTAACTTTAGAACGTGTTATTTGTTTAGCCGTAAATTTTTGAAAACTGTTTCAGAAAATTTAGAAGCTTATTTTAGTCATACATTAAGACTGTTTCACAAATTTCTGAAGCATATTTTAGCCATACGTTAAAACTGTTCCAGAAATTTCCGAAGCATTTGTTTAGTCATACATTTGAACTTTTTCAGAAATTTCTGGAGCATTTGTTTAGCCATACATTAAAACTGTTTCAGGAATTTTCCAAGCATCTTTATAACCACCAGTATTTTCAATTGATTTTCTTTGATTAACAGTTCTTTAGCCTTTCCTATTCGTATTTGAATTACACCAAAGTGCGTTTTCAGACGCAAAAAATAGTCTTCTGTCCAAAAATGTGCTTCAAATTGTAAATAATTATTTCTGCCAAAGTAATTCAGCTGAAAAGTACGGAAAAGGTACCACATGTTCTACTTCTTTCCGACCCTTCTGAAAATAGTAAAAGAACGCTATTTTTGTACGATTGTAAACAAGACTACTTTGCACTAAATAAAAGGATTTTTTTCCAACAGGGACGTGCTCGGGAAAAAATATTGATTAAAAGCAATAAATCAGCTGGATTTTACGATAGTTTCGGATAAAAATTAACAAAAATGGCCATTTTCAGCTGATTTTTTCACTTTAGAAAATCGCACTTCACTTTAGAACGTATTTTACGCTGGGTCTTCTGCCACTCCAGAGACAAAGTTCTATGTACACGGAAAACGTGTGCTCTACATGATTTCGCAGTTCGCTGTAGCGATGAACTTCGAGTAGTTCTTCGAACAGCCATTAGCATTATTCGACTGGTTTCCAAATTTTTCATGACTTATTGTTAGAGCTGTTCTGATACGAGGTTCTGACATGTTGGACAACGTTTACCTTCTTAGTTCTTTTCTTGTTGGCATCTTTGCTGCTTTTCTGTTTTGATTTCTGCGCTGTGATTTGCTTGCTTTTTAGCGTTTTTGTTAGAATTTTGCGTCGACATCGCTTCACTGGAATTGACGTTTGGCTGCTTTGATTGTTTTGTGCGACGAGTATTTCCAACGCTGTGGGATTTTTTTTCTACCATTATTTCCTACCGAGATTTCTATGCCGAAATTGAAATTTCACCATAAGGATTGCTGTCCGAGGGCTTCAAGTCCTCTTGAAAAAAAAAAAAACGAAGTAACAACCAACAAAACAGACAACCCCAACAACCACACCCAAAATACCCCCCCACTGGGCAAAACTTACAAAAACAGAAAAACAAAACGCAGAAATCCAGGCAAAACACGATCCCGTATGGCGGCTTCTGCCTGAAAAAAAAAAAACAGCTAGACGCAACGCACACTCTATTTCTATGCCGAAATTGAAATTTAACCATAAGGATTGCTGTCCGAGGGCTTCAAGTCTTCTTGAAAAAAAAAAAAACGATGTATCATCTAGCAAATCAGTCAACTCCAACAACGTCGTCGAATATAGCTCCCAATGGGGACAATCTTTCAAAAGAAAACCATTTCCTATGTTTACAAAATCGCTTTCGTGGATGAAACGAAAGACGTGAACTCTCATAGGATGCCAGACGTAGATCGATTCAGAAATACATTGTCAGTATTCTTCGAAATAGAGTAAACCCACGAGAGTTTCGAGCGAATGCTTAAACATGTCAATTACAAATTATACTGAAAGAGGAATGTTTGGTGCCCAACTTACATTTGTTTGGACGCAAATCTCACACTTGATAATCGCTGATGTCGCTGTAACTCTGTGACTGTATTAAACTGCTTGACTTCGATTTGCTGTTCCGTTTTGCTAATTATATTTGAGAACTTTATTTACAACAAGTCCAAATTCTATTTTTAATAGTGTTTTAATCTGTTTTTAAAGGTGGTTTAACCTGTTTTTAAAGATGTTTTAGCCTGCCTTTAAAGGTTTTTAAACTGTTTTTAATTGTGTTTTAACCTGCTTTTAGAGGTGTTTTAACCTGTTTTTAAAGGAGTTTTAACCTGCTTTTACGTAATGGTGTTTCAACCTGCTTTTAATGGTGTTTTAACCTGCTTTTAATGGTGCGTTAACCTGCTTCAATCGGGTGTTAAACATACTTTTAATAGACTGTTTTAACCTGTTTTTAATGTTTTTTTAATCTGTTTTTAAAGGTGTTTTAACTTGTTTTAATGGTGTTTTAACCTGTTTTTAAAGGTGTTTTAACCTGTTTTTAATGGTTTCTTAACCTGCTTTCTTTAAAGGTGTTTTCACCTGTTTTTAAAGGTGTTTAACCTGCTTTTAAAGGTTTTTAACCTGTTTTCAATGGTGTTTTAACCTGCTTTTAAAGGTGTTTTGACCTGTTCTTAAAGGTGTTTTAACCTGCTTTTAATTGTGTTTTAACCTGTTTTTAATGGTGCGTTAACCTGCTTTTAATAGTGTTAAACATACTTTTAATGGCGTTTTAACCTGTTTTTAATGGTGGTTTAAATTAAATTAAAAATAAAATAAAAATTTAAGCATTTTCTTTGTAACAAAACTTTGAAATAAAAGCAAGTTTTAAAAAACAACATTAAAAGCCAGCTGAAAAACTCTTTAAAAATGAAATCACTTGTATCTGGAGTTGTCTAAACCACCTACATGTATTTCTTGGGAATTTTCTTTAAAAACTCACCCAATTGACATTGCAGTTAAAATGATTGTTAAAAATTAAAACAGCACTAGAAAAGTGTATTCTAAAATTGTCCAATCAATCAAATTATCAAATCCCCAAGGTTCATTAAAGTTTTCTAAAGGAAAATATATTTTATTTTCTTATTTCCTACTATAATACAACCATTAGCCAAATTCATTTGTACAAAACAAAGGTCACAATTAAGCTGTTGTTACAGTAATGACTGGCTAAAGCACTAAAGGACTATTAAATGAAACAACTGCTACAGATCTGGAAACAGATAGACCGAATTGACAAAAACCTAGAACAGAGTGCACTGGTATAACTGAAATAAATAAGAATGCGGGAAAGATATAATTATTTTTGTTTGTTCTACATGAAGCTTGATTTAATATTGCTTAGAGGTAAATAAAGTATTTAAAACAGTTTCTCGTGTTCGGTTTTATTGGTAGCAATTATTAGTTGCGTGTTTCAATTGATCCTTGCTAAGTTATTTTAAATTCTACCTGGAGTTATGAAAACCGGGTTAGTAAACATTTTGTAATTTTTCTCAACTTCCCCTGTCTAATAGCTTGACGTATGTTTACTGTGTTGCTTGCAAGCTTATGTCGTTTTTTTTTTTTGCTTGTTTTGTGGCCAGGGATTTGTGTAGAAGTGGTACGATATTGTTCCTTTTCTACGGTGACCACTAAGGGCCTGTTTACATGGAGTGGGGGACCCCTGACTAGTGGGGTTGGTTTCTTTTGTTTTCACGCTCTGGGGGAAACAAAACAAAAGAAACTTACCCCACTAGACCGGGGTCCCCCACTCCATGTAAACAGGGTCTAAGTCTTTGGCCTCGGGAACAGGCTGTTAGGAGTCAAATGAATTAGGTGAGAGCAAAATTGCCAGTGAACTTTGACCCGGGCCAAGACGTCGTTTTTTTCTGGTGTGAAAATAAGGCTAAGGTGATCCCGCCGACCGTGTGACTCTACATCCGGGAACTTGAATAAGACAAGTGTAAGAGAAAAGTTCAGAGGTGTTTATCTTGCAATAGGCTGAGCGATAAATTTAGGGGCCATATTTCCGTATTTCTTGGCATAAAATCAAAGACAAGTTCCCTGCTTCCCCACACAGTAACGAAACACCCGTGCTTGAAAGGAAGGAGAAACAATTGCCAAAAGAGACAGTACTGATAATTATCGTTATGTTCATTTCATTGTTTTTTTTAACTGTACTCAGCACCATTCATCATCCATGCCTAAAATCCATTTCATTCCTCTACTTTTCACGGGATCATTAAGTAATTTGCGGTCCGTTGACGATAGGGATCATTTGCGGTCGAGAACCATTTGCGGACCATTTTGGGGATCATTTGCAGTCGGGGATTATTTGCGGTACTGTGCAGTACGCAGCATTTTATGAAGCAGAAGTTTCTAATATCGAAGTTCTTTATAGTAAGTAAAACAAACATTCTTTACTGTAGAATACTTAACTTTCCGGAGCAATCTGGTCTATAATAGAGAGATTAATTGGATGGCGTGCAATACGTTGGGTAAAATTTGGAAATCTAGCCTGTGTATAGGGAATCAAAGGTTAGACAATTCCTGGCAACAGTAGAAAGTGTACTGATTCCTTTACGGCAGAGAATCATGGGACTCTTACCAAAAGTACAGAAAAGCAGATTGATGGTGCCTATACCAGAATGCTTCGCACAGCACTAAACGTTTCTTGGAGGGACCACATTACAAATAAAGATCTGTACGGTCACCTCCCCAAAGTTTCTAGCAGGATCAGGGAAAGAAGAATGAGAGTAGCTGGACATTGTGTTAGACACAAAGAGGAGGAGGCATCGAAGCTTGTGTTGTGGCAGCCACAACACGGACAAACTAAGAGAGGAAGACCTAAGACCACGTACATGCACGCTTTGCTTGGAGACAATGGGTTCCCCATTATCGGAGAACTCAGAACGGCAATGCTAGACCAAAGTTATTGAGGAGGGAGAATCCATGTTGTCCGAGCTGGCGCTCAACCAAACGAGTCCAATTGACTTAACGAATTTAATCACATGTAAGGACCTTTTTACCCGGTAAAACTAAGCGAACTGAAAAGTCCAGGGAGGACTTTCAATCCAGCCCTTAGGGGAAATACGGGGTTGAACGACGGAAAAAATGTAACGCTGATTAGGATCAATATTTTATGCAAAGAATACTAATAAACAAGAAATCGTTGATAAAACGGCCCTTAGATTTGTAAATTACTGAAAATTCAAAAATTGAACAAAATATCTACCGAAGGCAGAAAAATGTTCATCCTACAACGAACAAAAAACCATCGACAGGTTAGAACCTTTTCCAAAATGAAATAGTAATTATAACCGTGGAGAAAACACCATATCAAGATAAACTGTTACAGCGAATTTCAAGAATGAGTTATGGAAATGAGTAAAAAACAACTAAATTAAATCAAATGTAATAAAAAGTGGTTTCAAATATTAATTATTATTATTCAACACGTTTTACTGAAGACTCAAGAAGAATCACATTACCTTTAGCGCATGTTTCGCCATCGCCAGTGTAACCCAGCATACATGTGCATTTGTAAGACCCCTCCGTGTTATTACATGTTGCATGCAAATGACAAGGCTGGTCATCGCATTCATTCTGATCTGAAAGAAATGCATTATATTTATTTTCAGTTAGGAATATTTGCAGGCCTGTTTTCATCAGCAAGGGAATAAAAAGCAAATGTAGAAATATTCCGAGACGATTTAGACATAAAGGTGCATGATGCCTTAAGAGTAACAATAAAAGCTTAGGAAGTGCAAGCGTTTCAAAGCACTGGAGTTTTAATAAAAAGTTTACCTTAGCTCACACTGACCTCTTCCGTTACACACGAGGTCCCAGGTGTAGACAATTTATTTTAAGAATTTACTCTCATCTAGATAATCTGAGCTATAAAAGCAAATTTCTAAATATAAATTAGAAGTCTTAACTCGAAGCCAACCCTTGCATTATTGTTTAAGCTTTCCTGCTTCCGCCAAGGAGATGCAGCCTTTTTGAGGTATTTTTTAGGTGTCGAGGTGATGTTTGTAAAAGTACCAAACGTTATTTTGTCGAAATGCTTCCTTTTAATTTCAAAAGGGATGAAGAGTACCGAATTAGCAACGAATTTTTTGTATGTTTTTTGACCTCTGCTGCACCATATCAGATATCTGTCGCTAGATTGTAATTTTTCTACATCTAGTTTGGTTTTGGTTTTACCTTTTGCCTGATATGTGATATCAAACCCTTTAAACTCTTTATCACCGTCTGTATTAAAGGTAATCGTCACTGGCCCACTAGCCTCTATGATAGGGGGCAGTACGTCGCCACAAACCCTCGCTTTTTCCGGAGAACTTGTGGAATTTCCTTCTTTCACCGATAGCCAGTCGAATGAACATCCTTCGTTCTTTTCTAACATAAATTTGTGGAAAGTCAGAGTAGTGTGATAGCCGTAGCCAACATCAATGAGCCATACACACGCTAGTCTTGTTGGGTAGTTATCGGGATGGTTTGGAGACATAATGGTTCCCGACAAAGCCGTCAGCCTTACATCACAAATACCTTTTTTAGTAAAAAAACAAACAAACAAACAAACAATAATTATTACTGTTGTTAACCTCTTTACATAATGTTGATATTGTTCAATATGAAATGAATAGATCATAGTTCAAGATTTCAGTGTTTCATTTTGACAGTTCATTACTTATAGGAGCCTTCTGTAAGCAGTAATCTCTTAAAATTGTATCATTCATTTGTATAGTTCATTTTTAACATATAGTTTAGCTGTCATGGTCCTTTTGCGTCTGACCAGCAATTTTTATTACAAGCGTCGTTTTGAATTGCAAACGAATCAACTTTCATAACGATTAGTCTTAAGAAAAAGAGAGAAGAACTCGACTTCGTGCGTACTCTAGCCCCTTTCTGTTTTATTTGCTTTACAACAGAGCAAACATACATACTTTATTTGAGTATGTTAGAAGGGGCAGCCAGAGACTGATGTGGACCTACTAAAGTACAAATAATTAAAAAATAATAATGATAGATAAATAAATATAAATAACAGGCCACATGAAAGGCTTCTTTATTTGTTAACTATTGTCCATAACTAATCATATAACTGCTGGCTTTAAAAAAAAAAAAACATTGCAAGCGCAGTTACATACTCATATAAGCTGAAACCTGGAGCGTTGGAACGCCAGAATACTACTGAACGCCAGTAAAGATGGAGTCTACTAAGAAAATACAACACACACAAAAAAAGCAACGAAGAATCACCCGGACCAAAAAGTTTGGTTACGTTTCCTGCAACCTAGGTGTCCCCCATAAACCAAACATTGATCACAGGACTTTAAAAGAGTATCGTGTACTATCTGTAGTAAAACGTTTGGTCCATCGTTTGGTCAATAACTAATAACAGACCAGCGAGAAAGTGTAGGCAAAAATTGCAAGGCAAGTTCCGAGACTCGGCCTCAATTAGATCTACAACTCAGACAACTTTACAAAAATAACACGTAAGAGTTCCTAATAAGGCGATGCCTTATGTATTATCCCATATACTTGGGAGGAGATGGTCAGATCAGTGCAATCCGAGAAGGTGCACAACAGCAACCTCTCCTAAATAACAGACCAAATTCTTAAGACATGAAAGTGAGGCCCGAAGCCTCTCTGCTCAGTGCAACAAGAAAACAGCAAACAGAGCTCACTCAAAGTGAGACTACGCCAACAATAATAATTGACGTAATAACTGTACTATCAAGTAAAGAAAGAAGAAGTATAAATCAACTTATGCCTCGCTCATTACTTAGCAAAGCAGAGTTACAATCCGAACGCTACATTGTGATGCGCTGTTACACCGCGAAAACGCGAAGCACAGTTGAAATGAACGAAAATGTCTTTTAATGAAAAATTTTGCCATCCTGTTGCAGTGGCTATATTTGGGGACTTTGCGCCCGTCTTCGTCATACTTAAAGCCGAAGTTTTAGCCCACTGACGAAATGACACTTTTAGTCGTCATAAGAATTAAATTCTAAGTTGCCGGGTCAAGACCTTGCCAGAAGGCTTTCTATGTTTTGCTTTTTCGGCAAACAGAATTAAGCAACCCCTTTGAACACTCAGAAATTCCGGGATTTGGTATATATCAGCGCTCCGACGTTCCAGGTTTCGGTTCATGTAGTTCAGTAGTTTAAATACCTTTGTGCTTTGCTAAAAAGCCTCTATTTTCCTTGTCATTGTCTGTGTGCATATGCACAAGTAACATGTTACTGCTGGAAACAAACGTTTTGTCATCAACATCTTGCAAGCTGAAGCCACACAATCGCGATATTACGACAGTACTTCCATACGAACCATCCAAGATTTCAATGTAATCATTCGGACAGTTGGCATTCTTTTCCGCCTATTTTAAATTAAAATTAGGACGTCTATTAGTAATCTATTACTGAGCCATTTCTGAATTAGTAATCTGAATCAGGTGCTGTGCGTGACATATATCTGGTAATGAACAACCCTAGTGTACTGTCCTAAGTCTTGAATGATTAATCTCTACAAGAGTCAACGCCCAACTTGCTGATCTTCGGTTGGGAGTCGTAATGGCTACTTGTAAACAGAGAGTAGGTCATAGTATGAACATCTAACTTATGCCATGAAACTCTGCCGTCGCTCTCTTTTCATTTAAAACTGAAGCGAAGGGTTGCTAAAAATCTCAGAACAGCGAGGTGCTGATTATTCATTGCCTCCTACTCAGGCTGCCCTCTAAGGAAGATAAAACCTACTTAACCTTCTATTACAACTATTTGACATTTCTGTTTATATTGATAGCTAGGGGGTTTAATGGAAAATAGTAAACTTAGAAACTATTTCTCTGACCCAAGCGGTGTATTATTGCTGGCGAGCCTTATACGAGCCAGCACACTATTCTCTACAATAGCGGGAAGAAGCCAAAATTTGTCGGATGTACGATCAGAAGCATGCGCAGTCGATGAGTTTTCTTATTATCTGGGGTACTTATTCCTGGGCGATGACATCACGTAAAACGTACGTGGATGACATCGAGAGATTTGTAATGAATTTTTTTAGAGTGCAAGCAGATTATAAAGGAGGTGAGTGTTTATAATGATAATGGCTATTTTTATATTCTAGATGTCTTTTTCTTGTGGGACTATTTATCAATGTCTCGTTCCAGAGAATTTTAGTGATGAATCTCGAGGAATACGAGATGTCTATGTGTATGTCAATCAAATCCTCCTTCATCGAGATAATCTTTCTCTGTGCGTCCAGCAGAAGTGATGAGACGGGCAAAGATTCTTCTTTTAGCGGCAAATAACTGCCGACTCTAGCTTGCTGGTGGCGGGAGAAAAGAGAGGAAAGAGGCGAAGCAAATCAGCTTTGCGTCTAAAGTGACTTCTGTACCGCATGCGATTAATCAAAGAATTCTTCTATTTCAGTACTTATTTTTTTTAATTAAAACTCCTATTATATATGCTTACAGGTTAGTATCAATGACTTATATTCCCACCCCGCCGTCAATTTTTCATAACTCCATGATTTACTCTGTGATCTAGGCCGGCGACACTCACCACGTATAGATAAACTGACAAGAGTTGAGAGAGACGCAAAGAAAAGTGGGTTCCTAGACTCTGGCCGGAAGATATGATGGAGTTAGGTTATTAACAATCTTAGAACAAATGAATATCGTCAACTAACTAAAACTGGTGATTTTAGCTTCTTTCGTCCCAGCTACTCCATATGACGAAATCTCTTTTTCCCTTCACGTTACCTGTCGCATACTGAAGTTTTTTTTTTTCAAGAATTCACTTTCCCAATATCGATGCAAATACCGTCTCAGTAACATCAGCTTTTACATGTAGAGATCAATCAATATACATGCGATTTTCTTAAAGGATCCTTGCCTACTTTATCTAGTGGTGATTCATGGTAGATTCACAGTAACTGGAGTAACAGGGGAGACATAATCCATACCGTACGATCTGGATACGCCGTCATCTATAATCAAAAGAGAGAAGAGAAAATTGCTATATGTATTATATACAGCTATATACTCTTTTTAAAACCACCCAAAGAAGGATGGCATCAATACTGAAACCAATACGGGCCGTAATCTTTTGTTGGGAGATTTTATCATAACCTATCCTTAACTGCTGTTGCAGTAAACTCGGAAAGTAAAAGGCTAATCTACAAAGCAAGAGTGTGTGTGGGACCAATTGATGTCTAAAATAACTTAAGACAAAGTTAAACTCGTTTCCATTTAACGTAGAAATGAGTTGACAAAACGCCAGCTTCACCGTCCAGGATTTTCACATATATATTCACGGCCAAAATACCATAAATACAATGAAAGCACCATAGAATGATGAAGATGTATAAACTTAACGTTGGTCATTCCTTTCTTTTTATTCTCACCGATAAATCTTGAAATTCTATTTCAATGTTGTTTCCTTCAGCAACTCGAATCAGCCAGTAACAGTCCATATTTTTTGAGTAGGGGGATGGGTAATTAGGCGACTGGAGCGTGCCACTCCATACTGTGATATTTTGCTCCCCACATGGCTGTGCATCTGCAAGTGAAAATTTGAAAGAGTCTGGTCATAAAAAGTTTACAACTTTCGTCCATTGGTGGCCTAAAACAAGTGATTATTATGTTGCTGTTTACGCAAGATGAAGTGAATGGTGCCTTTTGATTCGCTACCCGAGCGAGCGACATGGGCCTATCTTTGGCGCTCGGGATTTCCTACTTAGCTTTGTCCTTCAAGGACAGAGGTTCTTCGCTTGTGCGGTGAAAGATGGCTAGAATTGGCCTCGTCCTTTTTGTGGGTTTTCATTGACCTCGTCTTCCTCTCGGTCCAAAAAAAGGGCGGGAATAAAACAGAACTTGGCCAGCGTCCATCTATCTAGACCGAACAAGCTTGGTCAAGATTGTTGTTTTTAACCACACAAGGTATCTCAAAACTTAGAAAAGAATATATATTTTAATCATTCCACTTTCTTTACTTCTCAAAGACAGTCCTCTTCCTAGAGTACTTATGCAGTTTTTCTTCTTCTGATTTTGCTTAATTAATGAATTAAAAGGGTGGTAGTAGGAAGCCTCTAGTTGACTTCAACTGGTCTATATACTCACACCTTTACAAACGAATCACCAAGCAATAAAAGAAATCAGCAAGCTTTTTTTCAGTTTTTTTTCATGGAACGGTAAAAAGGATAAAATTAATCGCCCGATCATGATCAATGACTACCCACAAGGAGGACTAAAAATGATTGATACTGCCTCTTTTAACAAATCACTCAAGGCTACCTGGATTAAGAAATATCTAGATTCAGAAAACCGTGGCAAATGGAAAAAAGTTCTTTAATCTGGCGCTGGGAAAATACGGAGGAAGTCCTTTTTTTGAATTAGGAAATCTTAACAGGAAGGATATTGATAAGCTAAAGATAGCGGAAGACCCTTTTATCAAGGAAATTGCAGAAATGTGGTCTGACACTTCCTTCGAGAGGAAAATAGTATGAAAAGATCATTTTCTACCTCTACCTCTTTACAAAATTCATTAATAAGAATAACTAACGCACCAGTTTTCTTCAATGATCGGCTTACCAAGGGTATAACAAAATTTAAACATCTAATGGTCGAGAATTCCCTCAACTTTGTTTCCCTCGACCATTTTCAAAATAGATATAATATTCGAGTAAAACCCTTAATGTTTTTCGGAATAGTCTCAGCCGTGAAATCTTTGCAACGACAAATCCTGAGAACACACCGGCAGTATGAAAGCCCTTTTAACACATTTATCAAAAGGGAAAAATCATCTAGAACTGTTTACAAGCAACTATTATAACATAACAAAAGGAAATCGCGCGCTCTGATTGGTCGGTTAGCCACTACCATTTGCCCGTGGGTGCACGCCAAGAAACTGAGCTAGCGCGGTAAAATTTAGGCAAGTTCAACAAATCTCCTCTCCTGACGGTAAAATACACCGATGAAATGCACAGATGAAAAGTGGAAGTTGAAGAAAATACTAGCTGTCGTTTTGAAGGAAAAAAGACAGATCAAGCGACAAATTTGCCCGGATGAATTAATCACTGTTTTCCTCGCGGCTAGAATCGGCTGAAGGAAAATCGAGCAAGCGAAGATTTAAGGTACATTTTGTGTGTTTTTTACAGAAGAGAAAGTCTGTTTGAAATGTAAATTTATCAATTAGCATTGTGTTATTGACTTTTTGGTCAAGCTGATGCTAAATTCAAGCAAATATTTTAGGAAACACGCTCAAATTCGAGACAGCTTTGTTGTGAAGTTTTCATCGCATCGATTTAAAATTTTAGTTGAGTTTAAACGGGCACATCACGCTGGAATAAGCGAGTTTCATTTGAGTACAGAAACATTTGGGTTTTTGAAATAAATTTTTCAAAAAATAACTTCTGTGTGTATTATTTTGTTCCTCAGTGTTCATTCATACATGTAAAAGTCGTTCAGAGAAAGGTCGAAAAACAACAGCTTCAGCGCCGGCTGTGTGTCGGTGAATTTCAGTTGCAAGTTTGACTTTCATAGCTAGATTTCTCCAGACAGATTTCGATACAAAGCTAGTTAGTTTCTTTTTAAAATTAGTGTAACCTGTTCTGATTCTAAAGGAATTACAGTCAAATTTTCTCATTTCTACTTATTTCAAAAACTGCCACATAAATAAGCTTGATAATTATTTCATTTATTTAGTTTTAGCTTATTTTTTAGAGTCTTTTTAGTTGGTGTTTATAGTTGCAGCTATAGTTTTCCCTCAAAGTTTTTACTCTAATACTAAGAGCAAGTAGACAGAAAAAAAAAACTCAAAGGCAAGTTTTTGAAAAACATAGAACATGTTTTGTTTACGCGCGGGCAGATGGCAGCATACATGTACTCGGACCGATGACTCAACCGAAGGCAAATGGAAAATAATGTTTTTCTCTTTTGATTATGTTATAAAAGAAATGGTAAACGTTGCAGCTGTGCAACCATGGAGTTATGGATGCACGCGGGAGGTTGCTAAGCACGAAAGAAGCGTAAGAGTCGCACGAGGCGATAGCCGAGTGCGACTCTAGCTTCTTTTAAAATTAGTGTAACCTGTTCTGATTCTAAAGGAATTACAGTCAAATTTTCTCATTTCTACTTTACGTTTATTTCAAAAACTGCCACATAAATAAGCTTGATAATTATTTCATTTATTTAGTTTTAGCTTATTTTTTAGAGTCTTTTTAGTTGGTGTTTATAGTTGCAGCTATAGTTTTCCCTCAAAGTTTTTACTCTAATACTAAGAGCAAGTAGACAGAAAAAAAAAAATTAAAGGCAAGTTTTTGAAAAACATAGAACATGTTTTGTTTACGCGCGGGCAGATGGCAGCATACATGTACTCGGACCGATGACTCAACCGAAGGCAAATGGAAAATAATGTTTTTCTCTTTTGATTATGTTATAAAAGAAATGGTAAACGTTGCAGCTGTGCAACCATGGAGTTATGGATGCACTTGGGAGGTTTGCTAAGCACTCAAGAAGCTAGAGTCGCACTCGGCTATCGCCTCGTGCGACTCTTACGCTTCTTTCGTGCTTAGCAACCTCCCGCGTGCATCCATAACTCCATGGTTGCACGCTGCACGTTTACCATTTCTTAAATAGCAAATAAATGTGAAAAACCCATATCTTGTATAGACAAATGGCATAAAGTCATCCACTCTTCAACCGATAAAAATGTTGACTGGAGAAACGTTTTTCAAGCAGCAAACACTTGTACAACGAGCTCAAAACTAATTGATTTTAATTTCAGATTTTTACATAGACATTTACCAACTAACAGCTATCTGCAAAAAATAGGAGTTAGAGAGGACGGAAAATGTACTTTTTGCCGCGACGAGAAAGAGGATTTGACGAGTCTATTTTGGAAATGCCAAAAAACCAGACATTTTTTGGGTAATTTCTCGATATGGCTTAAGGAGCAAGTGTGGTTTCTGTAACGCGATTTGAATGATGTGTCACAAAGACCAATGTAAGTTTGCTTCGAGTGCGATGTCGTGACTTCTGCTTGCTATATGATATTCCGCTCGTTGCAATTTCCGTCCATAGGGCAGGACCTTTTGTCGCGGCAGTTGCAGGTGTTGATAGTTTGAACTGGTAAGTTTGATGACCTGCTAATGACGGCTTTATTGTGGTTCGTTGCTATGCAACCCAGCCTATTATGAATCGCTACCGTTTTTTTTCAAAATCACTCTAAAACACCATGTATTGTTTCTTTTTGGCAGTTACCTGATGATTGCTTCTCATGAAGCATGAAACTCTGAGAAGCAAGTAAATGTTTTTGACCTAGTTCAAGTCTACATATCTATTCAAAGCTCTGGTAAACCCATTGAACACTTTTTAGTTGATGATCAATTTGAATTTCGTCATTTCATTATATATATATATATATATATATATATATATATATATAACTTCACATAAGTTCAGGTTTCACGAGTAATCATCGTTTTATTGCTACAGAACTGTTTCGTATGGTGCAAGGACCACACTCATCAGGCAATTTTGACTCCTCAATCAATTGAGTCGAGCGCTCTACGAAATACGTTCTACTCAGAAAACGAATTTATATATATATAGATAGATAGATAGATAGATAGATAGATAGATAGATAGATAGATAGATAGATAGATAGATAGATATATTTATGGTAGCCAAAGCAGCGTGAGCCGGCGTTAAGACCTTAATTCTTTAGCAGATTTTACTTACCTGATGTCATAAATAAAACGTACAAAGCCAAGATGGACAAATTCGAAGCCATTTCATCTAAAGACAAAAACTTATGTCCTCACTAGAATAAAAATAATTCAAAAACAAGTCAGCGAGTGCACTTGGTGATGTTTCAATTTAAGACTTCAGAAAAGTAACTTGATTTTCGGTGTGTTTTCTTGGTTGTTTCAAATTCAAAGCTTTGTTGCTTCTATTCAGGCATAGGGGCCGTGTTCCAGTTAATTAAAATAAGTTGCAGTTCATACTATACCGCCTAATAACTTTTCTGGCTACACGAAAGGCTCTTCAGTATGGTGTGAACAAACCTAATGCGTACTAATATCTATATACAATGATTTCATATGACGTCACGGCGGCCATATTAGGGAGCTTTAGCATCGACGACGGCAACGGCAGCGAAAACGTCACTTTTAAAATGAATTCCCTTTTTTTTCGATCTTTATCGGGCTTAATTACAATTTGCTGAAAATGGAAAATGTAGTCGAATTTCCCTGTAGTTGATTTCTTGAGGACCGCACTCATGTTTAGAGAGAGAAAAAGAGATTCGTCGTCGCTTGTTTACGTCCTCCATAAAACTTGCAATTAGGCATTTTACGTCGTAGTCGTGCAAGGACGGTAAAGAAATGTACAAAAAAGCGTGATGCACGTGCAAAGTTGTTGTTTTGCGTNCGTAGTCGTGCAAGGACGGTAAAGAAATGTACAAAAAAGCGTGATGCACGTGCAAAGTTGTTGTTTTGCGTAATAAACCTATTGATTTGTTGACGTCCTCGTTGCCGTCGCCGTCGTCGTTGCTAAAACTCCCTGTTGGTGTCCCAAAACAATGAAACGGCGGCCATGTTGGTGTCCCAAAACCGTCCTGTGGGAGTTGAACTCTTTTCTTATGCAAACGTTTTCTTTTGTTTCAATGAATTTGCATAGATGCTGGCCACGTGAGTGAAAACGCTGCCATTATTATAAGGGACCCATGCTGCTTTGTTTTAGGAGGCGTGTGTATTGACCAATAATGGTGACCCTTTTCAGTACATTTGGGAGTTGCACCATTTGACAAGCAGAGAACATGTTTTTTGTATCTTCAAAAGGGTTTAACTGTGTGACAGATGACCTCAAGTACAATTTGATTTTCATGATTTTGCATATAGATCCAACTATTATATAGTAAATAACGTCTCCAAAATTTAACAGGCTTAAAAACTGAGCATTATTGGTCGTTTTTATACTAAGGACGCATTATCCATCTAGACGAACTTGAGCAAACATTTGTAGTTCGTCTGGTTATGCGTCTCAAGTATAAAGACGGGCACAAGATGCATCATGCGTCTGGACGAACTTTCCTTCGAAATACGTCTTGAACGACGCACTGCGAAAGGTTGTTTTCCTCCCTCAATTCAAGCCAGGGATAATTCTTCTCTCTTGTCAGTGTCTTGTCTATAATTCATTAACACGACAGTAGACTTTCAGGATCATGTTTACTGTAGGTAGTGTCGACCGATATGTATCGGTCGATATAGCGGTCGATAGTCGGTCGACACTCGGTCGATAGTCGGTCGAGACTCGGTCGAGACTCGGTCGATATAGCGGTCGATAGTCAGTCGATAGTCGCTCGAGACTCAAACGATAGTCGGACGACACTCTGTCGAGACAGGGTCAATAGTCGTTCCAGATGTGTCTCGGCCGATATAGCTTTTCGTTCACCGATACTTCACCGAAACTTCGCCGACACTTCGCCGATGGTTCGTCGATACTTCACCGATCGGTCAGTAATTGGTCAACGCTCGGTCGATGGTCGGTCGACACTTGGTCAATAGTCGGAAAATAGCAAGAATACATTAAAGAATTCATGTGGAGACGAGGGCATGGTGAGCCTCACCTCAATGGCCGTTTTGGTCGACTGATGCAGGACATTGCAGAACAGTATCCACTGTAAATAGAAATCAATGACCTTTGTTAACCAGTATCTCCTACATTTTTTGGTTGGAAAACAAGAAATTAGAAATCATTTTCTAGCTTGAATATTGATGTTAACGCGGCGCATACTGTTTTCCTTTTATTGGATAACCAAAAGTTACTTACCATTCAATAATAATTTCTGTTACGCATGGTCGTCTTTAGTTTGAACACAATATAAAGCGAAAGGACAGAGCAAAAGGACAGGATAATGTAATGAGAACGTATGAGTATTTTCGTTGCTGTAAATTAAAATCAGTCCCACAATAAATGAATGTGTTCAGTCTGCTGGATATTTTGTCACCTTCCTCGGCGCATTATGAGCGCGTTTTATCAATAACTGATCGTTAAACAAAGGACTGTTCAGTGCAGAGTAGTCATAATAGCCTACAAGGTCGGTAACTAATCAGAGCGCGAAAAAGACAATAGGGGTATTGTTTTAGAGGGTCACGTGACTTATTAGTATTGGAAAAACGTCATCACTGTTCACGTGACCCATTTCGACCAATCAGAAAGCAGCCAACCCCAACTGCTCCCCAGCCCGCTGGCATTCATAGGAAGGCACATACGTACATGGAGTTAGTATGAATGCGCAGTTCTCCCAATTGCTTTTGCCCTGCGCAGTCACGTGAATGGCATCGTAGGTGCATGCGCAGACCGCCAAAATACGCCCCAGGTCCCCCGCATTTATATGAGCGCATTTCCGCATAGACCTACTGCGCATGCGCAAACACTGAAAAGAATCGCCAGACCCCTCGCATCACCGGAAGTCAATGAAAACCACACTGTATTGAGGTCAAAATCATGTTTTTTAATTTAATGAAAATCTCGACAAAGTGGCCTTGGTTACAAGCGGGACGTGTGTGATGTCCTAATGACGTCACGCCCTGGAATGAAGGAAATTACAACTCTAACAAGAGGTCGACTTCGTCCCCAATCCTCTTGAGCCATAGGGATAACTCGATTTGGTGGCCACATCGACCACGCGCTTGTCAAACACCAATCCATACTGCTTCACGCACGGAACGACTTGGATTTGTTTCTTTTCTAAATCCCTTCGGAAATGATAGGGTGTGACAATGTTCAAGTTTCTGCGAGAGTCCTGAGGCGTGTTTAATTCCGAGATGATGTTGGCTTTCATGGTGTGGAAATTGAGGATGGCGGAGCCGCGGACCTTCAAGGTGAAACCGCGTACCTTACAAACGACTTTACCTCCACGGGTCTGGTACCCATAATTCTCGGCGCCCCCGGAAACAAACTCGGTGATGACATCCCCATCCAATTCATCTGTCATATCTCCCAAAAAATCGCCGATCGCAATGCTGGGTTGGCCTGGACGCCACTTGTACACGACACTGTCGGTATCATAGTAAAGGACTTGCTGTTGAAGGGTATCGAGGGACTCGTAGAGTTTGAGCCGAGCATGACACGTGGTGGAAGCCGCTACGAAGATGTTCGTTTTGGTCCCTTTGACCGCCTTCTCTTGGACGCTGGTGTAGACGGCCTCCAAGATGTCGTCGGTACAGAGGCGGAAAGTGCTGATATCGAGAGCGGCATTGGAGATGAGACTGAACAAATGTGCAGGATCCTTGACTGTGACGGTTGTGGTTTGTTGACACGCTCGCCAAATTTGCCCCAGAAGCTGTTCAGCATCAGCTTGGCGGTAACCTTGCGTCCGGGATTTTTGGCAATGCTGGCGATGTCCAGTCGGATGCCCTCCCGTTCCTGGTAGCGAAGAATGTAGTCTCGTTTCTGCTCCACGGTCTGACACCAACTCGGCCACCCCGCCGATTCCCGTTTTAACTTTAAGCAGGTATTGACATAGTCCTTGAAGAGACCTGTTCGGTGTTGTTCGGGGGGAAAATGCCAGATTTCGTGGATCTTGTCCAGAGTGTACCCCTTTTCCACCGCTTTGACCAGCTCGGGCGTGCACCAGGTCCCGCGTAGCGTGCGATCGGCATCGCAATGAGGGCAATAATGGGTTCTGTTCAACATGGGTTTAGCTTGCTCTTCCTGAACACAGGAGCAGCAGAGAGGAAAGGTGAGTTTTTGGCCACTGCACACGGGCAAGACGGGGTGGAACAGGCCAGCAGGGGGAAGAATGTTCACGGTGGCGATGCCAAAATACGACCCCAGGGACTGGTCGACGGGTTGCGTGATGATCTGCGGATGACCGATGGGGTAAGGGCAGTTCTTGTTCTCCCACGGGTAAAGGGAGGTCACATCCACATAGCGTATCTCTTCACCCTCCCCAGCCACAGCATGCAGGGCCACGGCGCCTGTTTGACCCCCAAAGAAGGCCTCGCGAGGTTCCAGGGGTGGTGCAAGATAGAAGGAGCTCAGAAAACGTTGAACCGCCACATTCGTGTCGACCAGTTGGTCCCATTCGCACTCCCACATTTCTATGACAATGTGACCCGCTTGGAGCAGGGCCATGCCTTTGGATAGAGTGGCTTGATACAGTTCTTCAACGCTTCTGTCCGGGGCAGCATAGTGCTTGGCGAAATAGGTATGGACGATGGTCCGGACGGACTGTCGCCCCCGTTGCGGACGTGGCGGATGCGGTCCGCACTGGCCCCCTGCTTGGGAATTTGGTGTTCTTGGTAATAGAGCCATTGCAGGGTCTTGAGCGATTGATTGACCTTCGCCCCTCGCCAGCCACCAAAAGGTTCGACCGCGATGGTGTTTGGGGTCAAATGGTGCTTGCGCCAATACAGATTGCAGGCACTGACGATGGTGATGCACTTGGCCATGGGATTGAAGCCAGCCTGACGTTCAAATTCTTGCTGAAAGGCTTCACAACCGGCTTTTAACAGAGCGACATCGGACTTGCAGTACTCGATTATTTCTCGCTGGAAATGAAAGCGGACATTACGACGAACCTGGTAAGCGTGCCAACGGGTCATCAGGATCGTAAAACTCCAAATCGGGGATTCGGCCCACGTACTGTTGATGGTCAGGGGTATTGAACAAATGGGGAAAGAACCCCTTCTTTAATTCGGTCAAATTGAAGGTGCTTGGAAAGGACGCGAGTGGCATAGGCAAGAAACACAACGAGTCGATGAATTTGAGGGGTCCGCTCTTGAAGGACAGGACTCTGGCCCCCACCGTCAGTTGGTCTTCCACCTCGCGTTGTTGCTGGTACAGTTTGTGCAGAATAAACATACCGTCGAAGCCTTTGTGAAAGACTACGAGAATCTCTCGTTCGTCCTCCCTGTCCGGTACCTCGGTGAGATCATCCAACGCCTATAAAAACTGCAGGGCACAGTCCTCCCCTTCCGACACATGGATGGTCGCTTCTTCACTGGCGCAAACACGCCCTCCGCATTCTACATGGCTTCAAAATCGGCGTAAACAAACAGGGGAGGGGGTGGCGCCACCATGCAACCCCCCTCCTCTGTTGGTTCTGACTCCTCTTCCTCCACCACGGGTTGAATGTAACACTTGTGGTCCTGGATGGACACCCATTCCTGACACACGGGACATTTGGCGTGCCCACACTTGTGACGTCGGTCGGGAACAACGGTGTACTGGGCTTGGCACTTTAGACAGGTTTTGACGGATTGACATTGCTTGGTGACCACATGATGGCGTTTGCAATAGCCACCGAAAAACGTGCAGTGACACAGGGTGCAATAGCCTGTGGGCCGGGTGCCACGCACATAATCCTGACAGTCAAATCGACCGCACGCGGAACAACGTCTCCCTTGACAGATATGATTGGTCCTATCGTTGGTGTTGAACCTCCGTTCATAGACCACGCAATAATACGAACGGTTCACAAAGGCAGGAAAGGACGTGCAGCCATTAAAATGATCATTGGATTTCAATAAACAAATCTGATGGGGGGCAGCGGGTCCTTTGAAAATCAGAAAGAACGGTTTCATCCGGGTCATCACCAAGAGTTGGTATTGAGAGCCCAACGACTGTTGAAATTGGCGAAGCTCTGGCAAGCCACAGGGACCCTCAGCCACCCCCGCTTGCTGATGTAGGTCTTGGACTTGACGTTGGTGCACTGGGTACCCTTCTTTAAACTGTCCCATTGGCGAAGTTCGTCCACGCCTTGATCTTTGTGGCAGTGCGCTCGCATGGTGACAATGGCGCGAGCACAGCATAAGGCATCTCTGTTTTTGATGGTGACGATGCATCGTTTTTTCTTGTTTTCTCGGTCCAGACACAGACGACCAGGATTGTGTTTTTTTACGATAACGGGACCCTGGGCCTGGCATGGACACAAACACGACATCCACCTGGAAACCGCGATCAGGGTTGAACGCTTCATTGCTGTTTAATTTGCCGGCTAAGGTGGCCAACATCTCATCCAATCGAGCGGTGCGTTGCAAAAACTCCCCCACAGTAATATTGGCCGTTTGGTATGCATGGGTGAATCCATGAGCCGTGATGGCAAAATTGACAAAATAATGGGCGGGTCGCTGCTCTCGGTCGAGTTTAGCCTCGATGGCATGATGCAACGCTTCGGTTAAAGCCATCCCAATATTACCACCAGCCACAGGATCCCTCAATTGACGCAATTGCGCATTGAATTGCGCCTGCTCCACGACATCGCCTCAGCGGCGTTGTCAGCCAATAGGTTGCATATGGAATTGAAAGAGGGGACCTCGGGCAGCGCCGCCTCCCAATTGCTCCCACCGGTCCAACAGGGCATCCTCGTCATTGTCTTCGTCATTGTCTTCGATACAATAGGTTGTCCGCCATGACGGGGGAGAAAATTTGAATTTTTCCCGTGCCAGACACTGGCTTTTATAGACCAAAAAAAAAACACGCGATATCACCACGCCATTCTTATGGCTAAACTTACTGATTATGAGCTACCTCCTTGGGTGCTGGACTGGATTGCAGATTTTCTTACTGACAGGAAGCAACGAGTGAAACTCGCCCACGATTGCTACTCGGATTGGGGATCTGTCAGGGCAGATGTCCCGCAGGGGACCAAATTGGGGCCCTGGCTCTTCCTGGTAATGATAAATGACATCAATATCAATGGCGTCAACCTTTGGAAGTACGTCGATGACACATCGATGGCCGAGACAGTCCACAAGGGCCAACCAAGTGGAATCCAATTTGCTGTAGACGACTTAGTTAGGCAAGCCGAAATAGATAAGTTCCAATTGAATGAGACCAAGTGTAAAGAGTAGCAGATAAGTTTCTCAAAGTCTGTAGATCCTTTCGAAGCAGTTACTATTAACAACAAACCAATTGAGGTTGTAACTAGCGCAAAACTTCTTGGTCTCACAATTTCAAACAATCTAAAGAGGAACGCTCACATAGAGAATGTTATCAAAAAAGGAGCCTCTAGGCTATATCTTTTAAGGCAGCTTAAGCGTGCAAAAGGAGATCCTGCGCAGCTACTTTGTTTCTATACTACGTGTATCCGGCCC